TTTATGGATTTTATGACGAATGCAAGCGGAGGTGTAACGTCAAGATCTGGAAGACGTTCATTGACTGTTTCAACACTCTTCCCATTGCTGCAATCGTCGCCGGAAAGATCTTTTGTGTCCACGGTGGTCTTTCGCCAGCCCTGGGCCATATGGACGACATCCGCAATATTGCCCGCCCTACCGATGTTCCGGATTACGGCCTACTTAACGATCTCCTGTGGTCCGACCCAGCTGATATGGAACAAGATTGGGAGGCCAACGAGAGGGGGGTCAGTTATTGTTTTGGCAAAAAGGTCATCACCGATTTCCTTGCAACGCACGATTTTGACCTCGTCTGCCGGGCCCACATGGTCGTCGAAGACGGCTACGAATTCTTCAACGATAGAGTTTTGGTTACCGTTTTTAGTGCACCAAACGTAAGTGGTTCAGACACCGTCGCACCCAGGCCTTGAACTAACTACGTGGTAGTATTGTGGTGAATTTGATAATTGGGGTGCTGTCATGTCTGTCTCGGCCGAGCTTCTCTGCAGCTTCGAACTCCTCAAGCCTCTTGACTCGTCTGCGCTCAAGAGCCATATTAAGAAAGGCCGAAACAAGCGCAACACTATGCTTAACAGTCCGGTATGTTTACCACCACCCCTTTGTTCAGCGATCTTTAGTTCTAACATGACCATGATAGCCCGCCAGTGTGTACCCTCAGAGCGTATAGCACCATTTGAAGGAACATGTTAATCATTCTTCCTGCGGAGAGGCTGCTCCGAAAAAAATCTATTCAGGTTGGAAGTCAGTTGAAGAAGCCCGATCGTTCAAGGAACGACTAAGGTGACATTTTTAGCTCTACGAGATCTGGACATCATAGGGTACCATGACCCTGAGGACGCAAGGTCAACAAGGCTTTTGGTAATAAGAAAGCAATGTCCATAGATCAAGGACGCTATTTCATATCGACCACTATGCAGTCGGTCCACATCAGGTCAGGTGTATCACGGCTGGGACAGAACGAGCGAGGGTGTGATAACCCTTGCACAACGAGAGCATGCCAGAAAATGGTTTTGCTAAGCAGCCCGGCCGGCCGCGATTAGCGTTTCACGAATGGGAGTAGGAATTCATATTCTGAGGAGGTGAAGTCGGCCTCCCCTCTGTTTTAGACAAGGGATGATTGAGGCGTATCACAGACTGGTCGTTATCATGTACAATACATGGGTCTTTTTTTATCTTCGCAGGTCGTTAATTGCCAAATAATACGTCGTGTATCGAGTTAGCCTGACTTTTTATGACTTTATATCTTTATCAGTGTATGCAAGCAGAATATACCCTATCTTGAAAAGCCAGTATAGCACAGGTGACGGAAATTGCTTAAATCCAAGCAGGTTTAAGATTTCTTGCTCATGACACAAGTGTAAGTTTCTCCCAAGACATTAAATGGCGTAGGGCTCAGAACCATGTGTATGTTATATACTTGCTGTACAAGCTAGAGGATGAAGTCGATATGGGTATACTGTTAAGAAAGCCAAGGGAGGGACAGAGAGGGGGCTTTACCGCCGAGAGATAGGTACCATATGTCGACCTATGGAATACAAGTCCAACAATACACACACCGCGGTTTTACTGCATCAATGTAAGTAGCCGGCAATACCACCACCACCACTGCCACCACTCATCCATTCCAAAGGCTCGAAAGTGTAGAACGTAACATACCTTGGCTGTAACCATAGCTGCACGTGGTGCTTTGCCCTTTCAGGATTGTCGTCCACTCAAACAACCCCCTCCGAAAATTAATAATCACGGCAAGGGAAAGGGGCTTAGAAGGGGGGGGAGGGGGGAGGGGGAGATCACCAATCGGCTAGTTAGTTGCCTTTCCCCATCCCCCTTCCCTTTCATCCTGCATACCCTTTCCATGCCCACCCCATGCGTTGCTGCGCCCCCCTAGGTAGGTAAGTTGACCGAAGTGTTCATAGGCAGCTAGCTATCTTAGAGGGATTGATATTGATATGGAATTGCAGAGATAAATAATTATGTACCTAGGTAATGATAATAATAAAAGGGAAGAATGAAAAGAAGAGAGAAGGAAATCGGCGTAGGGCTCCCCTTCCTCCCTCCCTCTTTGGCCCTTGGTAGTGCCTGTAAGGAACACAATAAAATTTCGCCTCTGGGGCTTCCCTTTCTTGGTCCTCTGTCGATAAGTTGGCTGGATCAATGTCTGAGAGGAAGGAAAAGGAACGGAGAAGAGGAGAAAGCCCTCCTTTGCGTACCGAAGCGTCTGCAGGCCACGCGTGTGGGATTTTATGTCAATCAACCACGTGTGTGTGTGTGTGTGTGTGTAGCTAGAAGGGAAAGGGACTTGTTAAGAATTTTACTACTTACTTACCTCATCCTACCTTACCCCATACTCGGTTCCAGCTGTAGTGAAAATGAGAGAGAAAGAGAGAGAGAGAAAGTAAAACAGGGTCGGGAGTCAACAGGGCCTTTTTTCCTTTTTTTTTTTCGCGCCCATTTGAATGCCGTAGGGAAGGCCAAGGGACTGCTGGGACTGGATTAACTGACTGGACAAGCCTGTATACAGTTGAATGACATATGATACTATGGTCATTATTCCTAAAAGTTTCTATATAAAAAGCGGCGGGAACTACTTCTCCCTCCCTCCCCCTATTTTTTTCTTTCCCGCAGCTAACTAATTAGCTAGCCCAGCACAAGAAAACAGAACAGGACAAGACAGACAGACAGACAGGCAGAAAGAAAAAGAGAGATCAGTCAAGTTCTTTTCGCGCCGCAAGATGCCCCCCCGTTCGTCTCGTCTCTACTGCGTCTTGGTTTCTTCCAGCTCGGCGTGCCACCAGCTGTTCTTCTTCGCCTTCTCACCCTCCCGCGTCCACTCCTCCTCCTCCTCCTCCTCCTCCATGACCACTGTAGAGATAGATCTCGGCAGTAGTGGTGATGGTACTGCTGCTGTTGCGCCGCCGATTAGCGCCGATGCGCTGATCGGCATCGCGGCTCTCGCCATGGCCCTCGTCACGCTGCTCACCGTGGGTCGGATGCTCACGCGGTGGGTTCTGCCTAAGCAGCGCGGATGGGATGACTGTACGTGTAATCTTTTTTTTATCCTTTTCCTTTATGCCTTCGTATACTTTTCCCCTTAACCAGTCTCCGCGTATTATTTATTAATTTTCTTCTCACAGGGGCCATGGTCGTCGCCTGGCTGGCCACGATACCGCTGTGCGCCCTGCAGGTGGTCATGGCGCGGCACGGGGCGGGCGGGCCGGCGGGGGAGGTGTCGGCGGGGGACCTGGCGGCGCTGTCGCGGGCGTACGTGTGGGCGCAGGCGGCGGGGCGGGTGGCCGGGTTCGCGGCCAAGTCGTCGGTGCTGCTGCTGCACATGCGGGCGTTCTACCCGCCGACGGTGCGGCGGCGCGGCGCGCTCTGGCGCGCCATGGTCGCGGCCGTCGCGCTCAACGCCCTGTACACGGTCGCCTTCGCCGCCGCCCTCGCCGCCCTCCGCGAACGCGCCCCCTGGGCCCCGCTGCTCGCCGCCGCCGCTGCCGCCAACCTGCTCAGCGACGCGGTCGCCCTCGCTGTCCCCGTCGTCGCCCTCCGCCGCCTGCGCATCACCCGCGTCAGGAGGACTTACGTCGTCGCTGTGCTCATCGCCGTGGGCGCCCTCGCGCCCCTCGCTGGCATGGCCCGTCTTGCGTACCAGCTTGTTGTCGCGGCGTCCATGGGAAACGGAACTGATGGCGATGATGTGGCGGTCACGTATGCTGTGTTCGCGGCCCTCGCGACGATCGACCAGATCGTCGCTGTCTTTGTCGGCTGCGCCCCCATGATCATCCCCATGTGGGCCCACGCGCCGCTGTCGTCGACGTCGGCGACACAGCAGTCGACGGAGTTGGCGTTGTTGAGCGGGAAGCAGCAGCAGCGGCGGCGGGCGCGCGATCCATACTCGTCGATACTGGGGGATAATGATGACGAGGAGATGTGGTGGCCACAATCGTCGTCGTCGTCGTCATCGTCGTCGTCCCGCGATGTTGGGGTTGTGGAGGAGGTGGTATCACCAGCGCTGAGGACGGGCCGGGAAGAGGGCGAATATGTATTCAAGCCTCTGGAGCCGGTGTTTCTGTGCTATGACAGCGGCAGGGAGCATAAACTATTTGTGCTCTTCCTACCCCCGCTGCCGCTGGACTCGTTCGAGGGGAAGGGATGTATATGATGACTTGCGCATTGGAAACCTCCTGGTCTATAGATACCCTGGTTTCTTCTTTTCTTTTCTTTTTACCTTTGAACATCACTGGGGGGCATATAAGGGGGGTTATCAATGTGCCTACAGTTTGTATGATACCAATTGTTTTATGAAAGTCGGCAAAGGAACGGGGAGTTGCTTAGGAGTTAATGCTCTTCTCTCACTCTGCTCTAAAGATACAAAGGACAAGACAGGACACGGATGAGAACTATTAACATAGATAGAAAGGCATGGCCTAGACACATGTTGTATCAATACGTTATGTACGTTATGTAAGATAAATTAGACTAGACTAGAAGGTAGATACAAAGGTTGTCGGTGGGTTGATTTGAGGAGGGTCTTTATATAGTACTTACATACCTACTTAGGTGTAGCATTAGTATTAGCTAATATGTAACCAATGATACTTCAAGAGGAGATAAATCTGGAGATTGGCCTAACAATGCCGTTTGATGTACTATGTATCATCTGAAGCTTAGGGTCCTGTCGAGGTACCTATCCGGTACTTCAATGAGCGAAAAGGCTACATGAGAGGTACTGTGTTCACGAGGTTGTCTTGTTGATGGCCCCAAAAGATTGGCCGACTAGAAGAAATAAGGTTCGACCAAACTGTCTATCTCTCGCTAGCCTAAACTCTAAGTTGTGTGCGCGCGTGTGTATCCGGCAGACGGGCACCCCCTAAATACTATATAATACCTGCTAACGGGGCTTGCCGATCACCTAGCAGAAACCCGCCTATCATCGGAGGTCCTACCATCCGAATTTCCTCTCGATAGCTCAGTTGGTTTAGAGCGTTCGGCTGTAATTGTTCATTGTCACCGAAAGGTCGCTAGTTCGACTCTGGCTCGAGAGAAAATCTCAACCTTGATAACAAGGCGCTTCATTTTTTTTCTCCCTCCCCTTTTTTCTTCTTTACTCTCCTTTCTCTTCCACATGTAACAACTTTTTTTTTCTCCTTTTGAATCCCTTGATTCCATTCCGGATTCTAGCATAGTGGAACTCACGGCTTTTCAATGGCTGTCTAAGACAAATACACGGCATAGTAAAATTGACTCCTGTTTAAGCGTTCTACATTCTATGAACGGTATATTGTTCACGATCATATCTCTGCCTCCAAAAAGATGATATCGCAATGCCCTCTCTGCCTTTCGCAGGTGGTGCTTCTACATACCGGTAAATCAGCCAACCGACCGTCAAGGCTAATTCACTTCAATGATCGACTTGATAATCTTCCCAGCTTCGTCAATACACTCTCTAAACCTGGACACCTGACCCCTCTGCCCATTGATGGAGAAGCCGATTCTAAATGCAGCCTGTTGTTAGATCTGTGCAGTCTCTGTGTGAAGCTCGGAGAAGAGGGGGGAAGGGAAATGGAAATGAAAATGCTTTGAAAATGCTTACTTGTTATCCATTATGCTATAACACACCCACCAGACCTCAGGATTTCTCTCGAGGCATGCTGAATCCGGCGTCATTTCAGCAATATGGATACTGGTGACGATGTAGTCTTCCTCTGCCTTCCTAAACACGGCGTCCTCGAACAGCGCCGGCATGGGCTCATCCTGGGGCCACATAACGCGCAGCGCCTCCAGGAGGCGGTCGAAGTTCTTGCCCTCCTGGCCATGCTTCTTGTTCTCCATGATGTCCCGCGCCGCCGCCAGGAGCATATCCCGCTTCTCCGGGCTCGAGAGCGTGGCATCGCCCTTGCTCCCGGCGGCAACGGCGTCGCAGAATTTGGCTACGGACTGGCTCATGAGCTGTAGCATCTCCACGCGCCCCCGGTGGAAGTGCGACATCGATAGCGTTTCCCAGGACGGCCGATTACGCCCGAAGAAGAGACGGCTCGCGAGCTGCACGGTCAGGTCCAGGACGCTCTTGATCGGGACTTTGTGCTCTTCTAGCACGCTCCAGCTGATCTCCGTCGAGGTGTGGCGCGCGTACTCTCTCGGCGCCATGTACTCGATGTATTGCTGCCGGTAGTCGTCCATGGCCTCCCGAAGCTCTGGACTGGTAACGAGAGTGTATTCCTCGAGCTGTATATCTTCCCGGGACCTCTGCACGTCTTTGTCGGGATCGGCCTCGTGGTTTTGGATCGCTCCATATATCCATTCTGTTAGTCGCCAGATCGTTATTCCGTCGATTTGCGAATGGTTAACAAAGTGCGCGGATGTCCCGTTAGCCGCCACGATGAACTGGATGGATTTATCAAACCACCGGTTGAAGCCATCGCCCATGAGCCCTTGCTTGACCTGCTCCTCACTAGTTGATGCGTCGGTGTCGTCAAGACACACCACGAAGGCTGCCTCCTCGACGACCTTGAGGTACTCAACATTGCGCTCGTCCAGTGCAAGGAGATCTTTACGATTCTGTAGAGAGGTTAGCCAGACTTCTTCCCATACAAAAATGGACGTGGACACCGACCTTGGCCCAAATGTCCCGGTTGGTCGAAGTGAGAATCCCATCCCACGACTTATCATCTCCTACGTTGTCCACAATGGCATCAAAAACGGCCTCAAGCCGTACTTGCGAGACATTCTCGTCTCCTTCCCGCAGGGCGACCTTGAACATGTGCCCCCTCCTCAGCACGACGCAGTAATCGCCCTCGTACCTCCGCATCGTGTCCACGCCGAGGCCTGGCTCACGCGTGCTGTTGAACAGCCACTTCCACAGGGATGTGCAGGACGGCACGTCGACCTTCCAATGGGGCTCGAAGGTCCCGGCCTCGACGGCCTGCTTGGCGCGGAAAGTGGTCGCCGCGAGCAGCGCGGCGTGCTCGCTCTGCCGGTGCGGGCCCGTCTTGCTGTCCTGGTGCGTCGCCAGGTAGCCGTCGAAGACCAGCGACTCGCGCTTCCGTGTGTGCCGCGCCTCGAGGTATAGGTCGGCGATCCAACTGTCGACCGCCTGGTCTTCTGACTTCTCTACGAGCTGCGCGTAGAGCTTGCGGGCCGTGCTGCCCGGCGCTACGAAATCTTCTGCGGCGCGTCGCAGCTCCTCGAGTTGTTCGGGAGTCCCGAAGTGGCCGATATTGGCGATGTGGTCCTGGAGAGACTGCTCAAGGTCCGGGAGCGGGTCCTTCCTCATGCCGTAAGGGCAACAGTCGGATTTGACAAGACCTTGCTGACCCTTTACTTCCTTCTCCTCTGTCTTACTAGACGATACCTTTGGATCAGCAGTGGCGCCGGGAGGCTTCTGTTCGCTAGCCAGGGCTGCACGCAGGTTCTTGTTGAGAAACTTTGACGCAGAAGCGACCGTCTTTCCCAAGTCGGTGAGGCTTGGCGCCTTGCGCACCTCTGCGGGCTGCAGGAACACCTGGAAGTACTGCACCACCCAGTTCTGAAGCTCAATCATCACCAAGGAGTCTAGTCCGAGATCCGCGACGTGCGAGCCTGTGGGGATGTCCTCGGCGGCACAGCCTAGGAATGTCGCTAGTCGCTGCACGATGATTCCTGTCACAATTTCCGAGGCTTCCTCCAGCGTCGCCGCCTCCTGGAGCGCCTCGCGGTCATCTACTGCGCCGTCCGGACCGGCGTCGCGAGACGAGTTCTGGTTGTGCGCTACCACGCTAAATAGGGGGTTGGCGAGGGCAAACGTGTCGCCGATCGTCTCCATGGACTCCCTGTCGAAGCCGAATATGGGCTGGACACAGCCGTCGAGGCGGGCTTGGGGGCCCATGCAATATTCTAGCGCCTTGAACAACTCCTCGAAAGACATCATCACAGAGCCCCGGCGCATTTTTTCCTGCTGAATGGCCGGCAGTGATGTTATGGCGACCGTGTCTTCGATGGCGCCAAGATTCAGTGAAATATACCGTGTGTGGGACTTGCCGGAGTGCGCTTGGGCGAAGGCATCTTGGAAGGCGTTCCCGATGGCGTAGTTAGATTGACCGGCGGTGCCCAGAATGGCACTGACCGACGACAGGACGATGAAGAAGTCGAGGGACGGTGAACTGAACCCGTCGTGTAGGTTGATTGTCCCTGTTACCTTCGGCCCTAAACATGTTGTATAGTCGATGAGCTCCATCTTCTCTAATGGATGGTCCTATAATATCTTGTTAGCTCGGGGCCCCCCTTTCTATTTGCCTCTCCCCCCCTTAAAACTTTGGGACACTTACCCTTAAAATCATGCCACCATGGATTATTCCCTTCACTGGAGGCATGGTATCGCGACATAGGGCCGCAGCGCTTTCGATGCTGGATTTATCAGTTATATCACATTTCACAATGTGTATCTCTGCCCCTAAGCGGCATATATCATCCTGTATAGCTTCTCTAACGTCGTTTTCTAGATTTCTACGAGACAGGGTGATAATGTGCTTTGCACCAAGTCTAGCTAGAAGCTGACATAGTCGTTTCCCTATGTCTCCCAAACCACCGACCACGATATAAGAAGCCTCTGGATCTAGATTGAGAGGTGGTGGAGGTGGCAAGAGAGCTTGAACCATTGCTTGGCTATCTGCCTCCACAACAACCTTGCCGACGTGTGTGCGATTGGCGATGGAACGGAAAGCCGCTTCGATCCTCCCCATTGGCATAGGTGTCACGGTTTCTATTGGAGACAGTATGCCTTTATCTAACATTTCCATAACAGAGCATAAGCTCTCATGCATCTTTCGTGGTTGCTTCCCGAAGAGCAGCAATAGGTCGACAGCCACGAAACTCGTGCCTTTATCGAAAGGGGTCATGCTTAGGTGGTTCCTACGGTACATGTCCGCTTTGCCAATCTCGATGAAGGTGCCCAACGGAGCAAGGCATTCCCAACTTTCGCTTAGGATGTCACCGGTGAGAGAGTTAAGCACAATGTCCACACCGTGGTTCCCTGTCATCCGAAGGATGCCCTTCTTGAAGTTCGTCGCCCGCGACGAGAATATGTGATTCTCGGGGATTGCATATCGGTCCATGATCATTTTTCGCTTGCTGAGGCTTCCGACCGTGACGAATATCTCAGCCCCGAGGTGCTGGGCAAGCTGCACCGCCGCCTGGCCCACGCCTCCCGATGCCGCATGGATCAAAATAGTCTGCCCCTTCTCCAAGCCAACGACGTTCACCAAGCAGTGATAAGCTGTCAGGAAAACGAGTGGGATAGATGCTGCTATCGTGAAATCAAGAGTGTCGGGTATAACGTGCGCCCGCAACCCCTTGACCCGCGCCTGGCTGGCAAATGGCTCGGCGCCTATACCCATTACCCTGTCCCCTGGCTTATACCGGTCGTGCATGTCAGATCCGACTGCCGTGACGATCCCAGACACCTCGCCCACCATAGGTAGATGACCTGGCATCTGGCCCAAGGCAACAAACACATCTCGAAAGTTGACTCCGTATGCGCGCGCTTCGATCTGGATTTCATCTGCGGGCAAAGGCAGCAACGCCGTCTCATCGTCGACAAAACGCAGGCTCCCCAAGACACCGGGCACACTGACTTCAAGCCGCAGGGGCCTATCAGCTTGATGATAAGGACACAATGATAGCTTCTCATCGCCTCTGATGCGGCCGGTCCACTCGTGGAAGGCGTGATCGCGACGGACCCTGGGGATTTGCAGTTTGCCGTCCGTGTAGGCATATTCAAGCTCCACGGCGCTGGTGGCCTGGGTCTTTGCCCAGAACGAAGTACTAGCGACGTCCGTGATTGCCTTCATGATATCGAGGCCGGGACTAGATAGGGGCTCCCGGATATCCAGTGTGATGAATCGCGCCGAGGGGTTCTCGCGGCGCATGACTCTGGCCATGCCCGAGACTAGGCCTTTCATGGCGGTGGATACGGCAGAATCGTTTTCCTGGAAGGTAACCCAGAGCAGATGAGCACATGTGGTTAGAAGGCCCTTGATATGTTCGAAAGCCTCAGCTGATGGATTAGCCA